ACATTTGCTAACTTCCAATCTTCTGGGACTACTCCTGTTAACAATGATTGGTTAAATAAATCTGTTAATGGTTTTGCTAGTACACCACTAAGCTCTTTTAATAACTTTGGGTGTATTCCATCCGGTCCCATTGACTTATTTGTCTTTACTTTTGACAGTTGAAATAGAACCTCTTCCTCGGTAAACTCACATGTAATAAATTTATTACTTGTCCTGAGGTCCCTTTTCCTTCATTTTCATCTGTAAATACTGAACAAAAATATAAAATGAGGCAGTCAGCTAGACCTTTATCCTCTTCTACATACCTTCCTTCTTTTGTTTTTAATCTAACTAATCCTTGTTTTACTTTCCTTTTCTTATTTATGTATCTAAAAAATGTTTTGTCCCCTTTTTTTTACTGACTGTGCTATTTTCTCTTCTGTGTGGGATTTGGAAGCTCTTATAACTTGCTTAGCCTCTTTCTGCCTAATCTTATAGAGCATTCTGTCTTCCTCACTCTGGTTTTTTTTTTATAATTACTAAATGCTAACTTTTTGTTTTTTACTATTTTGGCCACATCTGCGGAGTACCATAGTGGATTCTTGAATTTTTTGCTTTTACTGACAAGCCTAATGCAATTTTCTGTTGCCTTCAGCAGTGCAACTTTTAAATAATCCCATTTCTTTTGGACTCCATTTAAATTGCTCCAATTTGATAATGACTCCTTTACACATATTCTAATTTTAGAAAAGTCAGTTTTTTTAAAGTCTAAAACTTTTGTTTTTGTGTGGTGTGACTCAGTCACTGTTCTTATATTAAACCACACTGACTGATGATCACTGGATCCTAGACTTTCACCTACACTAATATCTGATACCAAATCTCCATTTGCTAACACTAAATCTAGTATGCCCTCCTTACGAGTTGGCTCTTCAACGACTTTAGAGACAATCCCAGTATGGAGTTTAGAATATGTGTGCTCCTGGCACAAGTAGTTTATTTTGTTTTCCAATTCACATCAGGAAGATTAAAGTCACCCATGATGATAACTTCCCCCTTCATTGTCATTTTAGCTATTTCCTCAACTAGTAGATTATCTAACTCTTCAATTTGTCCTGGGGGCCTATAAATCACACCTACACGAGTTGCTGTGTGATTACCAAATTCTAACGTAACCCAAACGGACTTTATGTTCGCCTCACTAACTTTTATTAGGCTAGATTGTATGGTATCCTTCACATACAGGGCCAACACTCCCCTTTTCATGCCTTCCCTGTCTTTTCTATATAAAGAGTACCCTGGTATTGCTATGTCCCAGTCATTTCTCATTATACCATGTCTCAGTAACAACGACTAAATCTACATTATCATTTGCCATTATTTCCACAATTTCATGGAACTTATTCCCTAAACTGCGATTGTAATTGTAGAAATCTGGTCAGTGAAGTGAGTTGCAAAGTTTGTGACGGGCAAGGTGGTAGGAGTAGGGGGAGCAACAGGGCAAAGAAGAGCATTAAAGTGTGAAATCGTCATTTGGATTTGTGGGACAGTGTGCTTATGAGGGTGTTGAAGTAATTTACTTTTGCAGAAGAAAGAGACTGTAGGAACGCATCATAAAATTATAGTGGAGGAAGTCAGATGCATAGTGATACTTTCCCCAGCAGCGTTCAGCAGTTCTGGAACATTTTTGGAAGTATCATCTTGGTGTGCCAGGGTTGTAATTGGGAGAGCTTGCTGCTTTTAAATGTAGGAGGTGCAATGAAGTCTAGTTGAGAGGAGAGAGTGGAGTTGTAGACTGAGGTTGCAGAGTTAGGGTATTATGATTTGAGATGGGTAAAAGGAGAGTTTGGTGGAAAAATGCTGCAGATCAAGGCAGAGGTTCTGCGAGATTGGAGAGTTGAGGGTGGTGAAATTTGGATACGGGGTATGCCGATGTCAAAGGTCTGCAGATGGTGATCAGATAAAGGAAATGGAACAATGGAGAGATTAGAGGTGGTACAGAGATTGGTGAAGATGAGGTCAAGAGTGTTTCCTGCTGTATGAGTTCCTGAAGTAGACCACTTTGTGAGGCCAAAGGAGAAGGTTACAGAGAGCAGACGGGAGGCATCAGGGCAGTTGAGGTTGTTGATCAGGAAGTTGAGGTCCCAAGTATGAGGGAAGAAGTGCTAGAGTAGAAAAAGTGGCGTAGCCAGGAAGAAAAGTGTTCAATAAATAGCATAGGATGACTGGGGCGGGGGGGGGAGAAGGGGAGCGATAGATGTTGGCAATTCTTTAAGGCGTGGGCTTAAATATGCGGACAGTGTAAACTTCAAAGGAAGTAAAGGATAAGGCAGGGAGGATAGGTTGAAAGGTACATTGAGGGGAGAGAAGGATGACTACACCGCCTCCTTTAAAGTCTGGGAGTGTGGGAGAATTGTAGTCAATATAGTCAACATATAGAAGCGGGAGTAGTAGTATCAGAAGGGGACAGTCAGGTCTCAGTGAGGGCTAGTATCGTGAGTGAATTTGGTTTCTGGTTGTTTTAGTATGATTAGACTAAGTTAAGGGCCCTGGGTTGGGAGAGACATCACCAGCTGACTAAAGTGGGTGTAAGGAGATATTTTGATGCTGAGGGAGAGGAGAGAAAAGGAGAAGTTAGAGAATTGTTTAGATGAGTAAGTACTTTAACAAAAGCAGAATGAGCAGCAGTAAGGAGAATGAGGACAGAGTTTTATGGGTGAAGGAGTGTGCTGATTACAGGTAGTGTTTGTGGCTGTCATTTCTAATTATCTAAAATTGTGTATGAGATTCTATCTATAAATGGAACAAAGAAATTGGGGTGGGGTGGTGGGAGAGCCATTTAGATCAGTTCTGGTTTCCAGCAGGGAACTTTTTAACTCAGACTGTGGAAGAAAGAGATGATAGGGTCAAAAAGGCCTGCAATAAAACTATGGAATGGAGATGCACAGAGGAGGTAAGGATTGGTCAAGCAAGACATTCGGGTGAATATCAATAAAATAAAGGGGGGTGGGTGGGGAGGGGGGGTTCAGAAATAACAGAGAAAGTCTTTAGAGTTAATCAGATAGGTAAATAGCATTTAATTTAACAAACCAACAATGTTGAGTACGGCTGGGAACAACTAGCTTTAGCATGCAGGGCAAGACAAAGTAAAATATATATGTATGGATTAATAAACATGGACACATTCACACACAATTGTAGATATATATATATATAAACCCATTGTACAGCGCTACGGAATTTGCTGGCGCTATATGAATAATAAAATAATTATATATAACAGCAATAATTGTGTTTATTATATTTCAGACAAATCCCTTTCATCCCTATAGAACTTCGGTTTTACGGTATCTCAATATATTCAGATATCAGCATACACAGGCTGCATTAGGTTTGAGAATAGTGTGTAACTCTGTACGTACTTAGAAAAGGGTACCTGAATGTGGCAACAGTGACCTCTAGTGATCTTTTTGTATAACAACATTCAGTCTGAAAAGGAGTGATGAACTATATCTATAATGGATTAAACCTTTACTGCACTCTTACTAATTAATGATTGTTATTGTATAATTGACTAATTACAGCAAGACATGTTTGTATATAAGTATATTCTCTGTTGCAACTGCAGTTGTATGAAAAATAGTAACTAATAGATATGTAATAGCTGATTGGTTTAGTGCATTACACGTATTGTGTTTTTTTTTTTTAACAATGATTAACAGTTGTTTTAGACAAGCCCACAGCATTTATTTTCAAAGGGCTGGAAACCCTTGGTCTGGTGGCAGACCACTATTATATACTAATCTAGGTTATATATATATATACATCATATAATTCCACAATGTCATTAACAATTCTTTTTCATGGGTTGTTTTTACTTTGGGTGATGCCCTTGAGTTCCTATGTAACCGACTAGGAGTTACCAGTGCTGACTAGTGTAGCCCTGTTGCCTCTTCTTGTGTGGCCTATTTTTATAATTATGTATATTTTATTCCTACTTTTAAATTTTACTTGTCTTTATATTATTTGCTATTCATTTTTTTTTAACTTCTATTTTACATTTTCATTAACATTTTTTGTTTTATTCACCTTATCTTTTGTATTGTCCCTCCTCTGTGCCTCTTCGGTGATGTACACGAACATGGTGGGTTTCAGAGCATGGGAACTTTTTGGAATGCATACATCTCTATGGGCTCCCAATGGCACCAAACCGTGATGTTCGAATCCTCTGTTGGCACACTTCCGGTTTTAGCATCTCCATGTCATGCGTTCCTAAGACATGACAATGCATCCCCTTCACATACCCCATAGAGACGGATGCATTCCAGAAGGTTCCTGGTATGTGAAGGGGACGAGTTGGCCTAAAACGCATTGTCATGTCTGAGGAACGCATGATGTGGAGATGCTGAAACCGGATGTGTGCCAACAGATGATTCGAACATCACGGTTTTGTGCCATTAAGAGCTTTAAAAGGCCAGAAGAACTTGGACACTGCTGTACTATTTTCCTGAAAAAATCCGTGCTAGACAGATGAAACGCGCAAGCAATTACCACTGATGACTTAAAGGTAGGCAGACGATGTAATAGAGCAGCAGGAAATGCTAGCAGAATGCTTGGTTGTATAGGGAGAGGTATTAGCAGTAGAAAGAGGGAAGTGCTCATGCCATTGTACAGAACACTGGTGAGACCTCACTTGGAGTATTGTACACAGTACTGGAGACCGTATCTTCAGAAGGAAATTGATACCTTAGAGAGGGTTCAGAGAAGGGCTACTAAACTGGTTCATGGATTGCGGGATAAAACTTACCAGGAAAGGTTAAAGGATCTTAACATGTATAGCTTGGAGGAAAGACGAGACAGGGGGGATATGATAGAAACATTTAAATATATAAAGGGAATCAACACAGTAAAGGAGGAGACTATATTTAAAAGAAGAAAAACTACCACAACAAGAGGACATAGTCTTAAATTAGAGGGACAAAGGTTTAAAAATAATATCAGGAAGTATTACTTTACTGAGAGGGTAGTGGATGCATGGAATAGCCTTCCAGCTGAGGTGGTAGAGGTTAACACAGTGAAGGAGTTAAAGCATGCGTGGGATAGGCATAAGGCTGTCCTAACTATAAGATAAGACTAGGGACTAATGAAAGCATTTCGAAAATTGGGCAGAGTAGATGGGCCGAATGGTTCTTATCTGCCGTCACCTTCTATGTTTCTGTTTCACTGTTTTAATTTCATTTGTAAATTTGGTTTTATGTTTCACTTGTGTCATTGGCGGATATACAGGCTTACCTATCCTCATTCAGCAATACCACTTTTACTCTCAGTGTAATACATAAAGTTGCATTTAAATGTTAGTGTGCACTATGTGGTGGTTTTTGTTCATGGTGCTCTATAGACTCAAGCCTGGAGCAGCTAATATGCCAATTTTTCCTTTCTCTCTTGTGAGTGTATTTTTATAAATGCCTACATATTATTTTATGGTATCACCCAATTTGCATTTTTATTACCTTGCCTGTAGAAATTGTCTCATTTTGTTGAAGATTTGGGAGGAATCTTTATTTTTTTCCTTGTTGCCAGACAAGGCGGATTAAGAGGGGTGTGTATAACAATTTAGATATTTCAACCTTAGTACTTTGATGTGTTTGTTTCACTTAAGGTTGGTTTGTACTTTCTTTTAGTGTCTTATATGTGTTAGCCATGCCTCCAGTGGGGTAGCCATGGACCCTTATTTATGTGTTAAACTGCTAAAAAATAAATTAAAAATGGTTTAATACTGAATGGAAGGACTGTGCTAGAAGCCTTCAGGCACTATAACCAGTTTAATGAGATTTAATTGTTTCTTCTAACTATGCAGCCCTACTTAACCTTTAAATATTAAAGTATAGGCTTTAGAACCCCCGAAAAATTACACATGAAACAAAAAAAATTAAGTTTCACTTAACTATTTGCTGCCATTTTAAGTTTGTGTAATAGTATCCTATCAATCCCCTAAAGAATTGGGTGTCAGTGATGAACACACAAGAAATGGACTTCCATGGGAGTCTTGAGGTGTAGAAAATGAATGCAGAAGATCTATTGAAACAAATTTTTCTTGGAAACAACTTTTGGCACAAAAGAGGGAGCAAACACAAGACTACTATCCAGAGTAAATGGTGGCGATATTCATTGCACTTGGCAGGCATTTGTACCATGCAGAAGTGATCCAGCCCCCTGAGATAGTGTCGCTTCCCTCCACCAAGATTATGTTCCAGAGAAAAATAACAAAAAGGTCCTTAACTTGCCTGTGGACAGGCAAATAATTGGATTGTTCTGGTATTGCATCTGATATGGTAGGGAGGTAACAAAAAGCCATCTTGCCAAGTACTGCCACTATACATATGAAACACCTGGTTCTTTACCTTGGTAACAAACAATTTCTAGAAGAGTAAACTCACGGTTTGATTGTCCATTACTTGTAATTTCTACTATAAAAAGCAAACATACAGACTGAAACAGTCAATGAAGTAGTTATGTTGCCTGGAAGTCACAGGCATGCTCTTACTATAGGTTTAACTTTAAAGGTTACCTGACATTGTATGTCCCTTCCTCCTCTGCACCCTATATGGAACCTTTTACTTTGGTTGCCAGTGACCGGATTGGAGTGTCCGGCTAGCCCAAGCATTGTCAGGAGAATTTTGTAGTCAAACCGCTTGTAAACTGTTAAAGCAAGAGGGCATCCAGCACCCTCAGACACCAAAACCACTTCAGTGAGATGGCATTATGGTGGCTGTTGTGTTTTGTTAAAGGCAATAAACAGAAAGAAAACTTGCTAGCTTGAACAGTAGGGAAGCCATGTCTAACATTTGTGTCGACACGATAATGACCTGGTTATGGTGTTTAAAGGATACTCCTAACATCTCGATCATTTCAGTGATATGACGTGATCAGGGTGCCTGAAATCCGTATGTACAGCGCTAATGTATGAAGCTGCTGGAGGTCTAACTTTGCTAGGCAGCATGAATCATCATTAGCCAGCCCAAAACAACAGTTGCTGACTGGCTAATGGCAATTCTGTGAAAGTTTTCAAGGAGATTGGATTGGCTTCTGCAGAAGCACTAAGCACGTCACCAGTGTTCTAGAGGAGCCTCCAAGCCTGGCGGGGACCCAGGTAAGAGGGTATATTGTCTGCACAATTAACAGGGTACTCCATAATTTCTTTGCTTAAAAGGGACACTCCAGGCACCCAGACCACTTCTGCCCATTGGAATGGTCTGGGTGTCAACTCCCACTACTCTTAACCCTGCAAGTGTAATTATTGCAGTTTTTTTTAATAAACGGCAATAATTACCTTACAGGGTTAAATCCTCCTTTAGGGCACTTCTTGCATCATAGCACAGAAAACCTGTGCTAGAGCGTCACTGGACGTCCTCACGCTGTGTAAGGACCTCCAGCGTCGCTCAATTCCCCATAGGAAAGCATTTTTAATGCTTTCCTATGGGGATCTCTAATGCGCATGCGCGACATTGCAGCACATGCGCATTAGGTCCCCCCGACCTAATTTCCCTTTAAAGGGTTACGCCAAGCATTATAACCACTAAAGCCCACTGTATTTTAGTGACAGTTGAAAAGCATTGTTACATGTACAATCCATATCCAGCTGCAGCAATGTCAGAAATTTATGGCAAGGTGGTCAAACAATGACTCTTCAGTTATTCTAAAGACGGTCAATCTTCAACACATGGCTAGCAAACCCTCCTGAAAGTATTTTATTAGCTAATGTCTACATGTAAGTGTTATTTATAAAACATCCACTTGGTACATTAACAAGAAAAAAATGCTGACAATTAATTGAAGTGCATTTAATTATGGTTTGTTCAAGGAAAATAAATAGAGTATCAAAATGGCCACATTCGTCCAGGGAGGTACACAACCAACTGAGAGGATAACAAAAAGAAAAAGGTAAGTGGACACTGATGGCAAAGAATGCTCAGTTAGATTTTATGCTCCGCTTTGGAGGTGTATTGGAGGACATACAAAAAAAGGGCAAGATTTGTATTAAGACGAGAAGTCTCTAAATTATATGTGCTGCAACATACATGTTACTAGAACTGAGATCCAGGTTCTGACCATCTCATATAATATTTCTTTTGTTGACCACACAGTAAGCATTCAAAAAGACATTAATAAAGCTGTTAGGCCAATGTAACCCTGTGCCAGTGGATAGATCACTGAGCTGAATGAAGAACTGCACCAACAGTTTTTCCTTTACTGGAACTGAAGTGAAATGGACTGATTAAATAACCAGTTTTGCGGTTTCAATGGTGATGAGGCCTTCCTCTGCCGCGACCAGCTGGCGGAGCGTCTGCAGTAGATCTTGGGTTTTTGATGGTTTCATCCACAGACAGTATGAGACAGGCTGCTTCTGAAGCTGCCGTTAATGCATTAATTCTTACAATTGCTGGCTCCCAAACGCAAGCGTCAAAGTTATCTGCTATGTCTTCATTGTTGACATCCACCCCGTACCACATTCCACCCTGAAAGGATACCCAAAATAAATTATTATTAGTTTCCCTGCATGTTGGAGTAGCAGAGTAAATAAAAACAGATATTTATAAAACACCACCCATACTCTGTAGCACTATACATTTTACTACTTTTCACATCCAGCAATAGCGACGTCATTATGCATAAAGATATACACACACACACAAAGTGTGTTAGCAAATCCTTAAAAATAAGTCTCACACCTGTCAATCAATTTCCATGTACAGCAACCACAGTGCATGTTGTGCTACAGTAACTCCTAGCCAGCGATAGTACAGTAACAGAGTGCCGAGCCAACGTGTCAAAGTCACAGAGGAGGTTTGACCTGCTTAGAGTAAGTCAAAGACGACTTTGGGAGGAGACAGGGTCAACTGGAAGTGGGTGCTCTCTGTGAGGACATGGAGGCACTGTAGCAGAATGTAAGGGAAGTCATTGACAGATTTCCTGTACATATTACCGATTATTGACCAGCTAACTAAATCAATCTGATTATAATCAAAATGATAGAAGACATAAAGATTAAAAATATGCAGTATCTCACAAAAGTGAGTACACCCCTTTTTTTGTAAATATTTATTATATCTTTTCATGTGACAACACTGAAGAAATGACACTTTATAGTGTACTTCTGGTTTGTCCTCGGTTTTCAATTCCCCTCTTAAACTGGTTTAACAATCATAACACACAATCAGCAAGAAGGAACACCTGATGATATCTTAAATTTGATGTAAAAAGTAGACATTTAAAATAAATTCTGTCTATGTAGGCAGAAGAGTGAAAGCTGTTGGTAAAATCTATAAAACATAAGTGTACAGCCAGATTAATGGAGAAGTGTACATGCTGTCTGGGTGTTGGAGACTTTTTGTGACATTGTGTCTTACACTACAAGAGGAGGGTAAATAATGGTGCAATAAAGGGCCATAGAAGACTGATTTGAAACACTTACCTGGGCGTGTTTAGCTCTTAGCTTGTTCAGGATGTTCGTGGCATCAAAGCCAGCATTGTCACATAGCTGTCTTGGGATAATCTCCAGAGCCTTGGCATAGGAGCCAATCAGAAGCTGCTGCTTTCCCGGGATTGTCCTGGAATAATCACGAAGATACTTGGAAAGCTCCATCTCAATGGCCCCTCCTCCAGCTACCACAGAGTCATTCTAAAGAGGATGATAAAAGTGTTCATTTCAAAGTGCAATTTGAAGGTACAAGAGACTGACACGAAAGCCATAACAAAATGTGTAATCAGGCACGGTTACCTTGATTGCTCGCCGCACAATCATGATGGCGTCATGCAGAGAGCGCTCTGTCTCCTCCATGAATTGTTCTGCACCCCCTCTCAGTATGATTGTACATGTCTTGGCTTTTGGGCACCCAGAAAAGATGTTATACCTGTAGCAAACACACAAATAAATGTTCAGCACTGGCTTTGTCACACGTGTACAAAGATTTCTGTGACACAAAGATTAAAAGTGACAGGGCCCCACTTGAACTTCATGGCTATATACAAAATTATATTGAGTATGCATTTCCTAAAAACTGGGCACATTTTAGAATTGGTTAACATTTGATACAAATATATCAAGATGCACTCTCCTGGTCATAACAGAAAAACTCATTCTTGTATTCGGTAGCATATTCTTGTAACGGAAGTGTGAATGTGTAGGATTTACAAATGGAAGACTACGTTTTTAGAGTAGAGTTTGGGGTACCCAGTTTGTTTCTTCATTTTATAACGCCAAGTACAAAGAGTGTAAGTGAAACCGCTCACCTTTCTCCGCCCACCTGAGCTTCCTCAAAGAGAGCACACTGCCCAAGAACATCATCAGTCAACGCATTCACACTGGTCTGGATGGATCCTCCACAGGCCTAAAATAACAGGAATTAGATATCAAAATAGTCATCTGATTGCTAGATACAGCAATGGTGTATCTATTAGAAAAAGGGGTGGAGGTTTTGTTTGTAGATACATAGGATCTAACTGTATTTATTAGATATTACCATCATGGTCCTTTTAAGGTCCTCTTCTGGCACTCTTCCAGCACAGAACAGATCCCTGTCTGCAAAGTACTGTGTAGCTACATCCCCAATTGGCAGCTTGGACAAGACGACTTTAGCTCCAGACTTGTGAATCTTGTCCAGTTTATCATACAGAATATTCCATTCAGCATCTACAATCGCTTGATAGTCCTAACACATGGGTAGTGTCAGAATATTGAGAGAAAATATGATGACATCAGTGCAAGGTCAGTAGGGATAGCATTCACATTTAAAGCAACAGTCTGATGTCATTTGATCCTGGCCAACAATTAGTGTTAGTACAACACTCTAGTGTTAAAAATATGTTTACATTCCAAATGCTAAAATATACCTTTAAGCAGTCATTGAAGGATTTAAAGGGACACTGTAGGCACTTTAACAACTTCACCTTACTGAAGTGGTTATGGTACATACAGTCCTGCTCCCCGCAAACCTAATAGGATGCTTGGAAGTGGAGCTTCAAGCCACACCTCCAAGCTCTCTGGGTATGAGAGCTGGATATCTAACTACCAAGCTTTCATACTTTAAAATATCGTGATGGCATGGGGGCAAGCACAGTGCCGTCACAATCTGCCATAGAGAACAGTAATTCTCTATGGAGGAGTTGTAGGCGCATCTCAGCCAGCGCCTATGCTAGTCTCTGAGGAGTATTGGATTGGCTTGTCACCCTGGAGGTGGTCTCAGCAGGAGAAAAGGTGAGTAATTTGTTTTCTGTACAGATTGAGGGGGGGGGGAGGGGGAGAGGGGTGAAGAGCAATGCTATAGTGTTCCTTTAAACAACTTACCAGTACAAAAATGATCAAATTCTGACAATGGAGCAAGATCAGTGATTGGACAGATCAAATAAGAGATACACTAGACTTATGGTTTGTTATAGTTTGAGAAAGGGACTGTTTGGAGCATGCAAGGCTAAAGAATCAAATGACAAAACCAGGCAAGCGAGACTGTAAGCAGGTCCTTTTCGGCACTCCCGATGACCCCCACAAGGTGGGTGAAACGTGCGTCGAATGCGCTATCTTTTGTATAACCTGTTTGTTTACCTTAGAGGTGTAACATACTTTTTCCCCACTGGGCTGGCAAAAATTTAGGGATATTCTACGGTTTGCTTGTTGGAGCTCTTTTGCGACTGACACCTGGTGACCAATATAGGGTACTACACATTGGGATTAGTTTATGGAATTTGCCATTTCTTCTATGTTACGTACACACTACAGATTATAGTTTATGACTTTGGTGGCAAGTACAGGCTTTTTATAAATTATCTAATAAAAATGTTTTTTATTTTTTATTTTATTTATTATATTTTCTGTACATATCCACTTTTTTTGTTTCGTTAAACCATGTTCACATACACGGATTTCTAGAATACAAATGAATTCCATGGACGGAATTACACCAATGAATTACTAGAACCAAACCTACTTAGCAAGTTACACTTGTGAAACACCTTCCCAGATGACAAATTTCAAAAATTCCTTTACCTCAATTTTATTCACTCGGACCTCTGCATTATCTCTCTCTGCTTTCAGTTCCAGCTCTATATTGAGAAGAGCAATCTTTGGGGACTCGTATTTCTTGGGCTGCATTTCAAACCCAGCATAGGAAAAGGTTTTCTTAAAGGCCACCCCAGCAACCAGATGAGACTCCTACAGGGGAAAATAATCCTGTAATTAGCAATTCAAGACTACCACATATGTATAGACAGACAAGAATAAAACTAGGTACTATCACCTCTAAATGGGTTGCCGCTCGATTAAATACCACTGAAGCATATAAGAGTAGCAACATAGCCACATTCAAATAGTCTTCTCTACATCAAAAAGATTTCTCTTTAACACCATAGTTGTAATATCAGCTAACCTTAAAGCGGCACTGTCACACTGAACTTACCTTTCTCAGGATCTGTTCTTTTCTTTATTTCTGATCTAATTTTCCTTAAAACATAAAACAAAGCAGGGACTACTTTGTCTTATGTATTTTTTCTACGTCTGACTTTCTCTCACACAAGGAGGGGCTTAATTAAATCAGCCCTATTTCACATGTCATAGAGGAAAGGGAGTACTGTGGGAAATTTTCTGTGACTTAAAAGATCACTATACACACCCAGACCACTTCAACTAAATGAAATAGTCTGGGTGCCAAGTCCCCCTAGTTTTAACCCTGCAGCTGAAAAAATCAGTTTCAGAGAGGGTTAAGCCAGCCACCCTGAGAGCCACTAGATGCTGCTTCCGCGGTCCTCAATGTGAAATTCGCATTGAGGACACGCTGATGTCAACAGGAAAGTATTGCTATGGGCGTTTTAAATGCGTGCGCAGCTCTGGCTGCGCATGCGCATTCAGAGCTGACGTCAGCAGGGGGAGGAGAGGTCACGAGTGCTGAAGGAGCCCAGCGCTGGATTAAGGTAAGTGGCTGAAGGGGTTTTAAGCCCTTCAGCCCAGCAGGAGGGGGATACTTATTAACCCTATAGTGCCAGGAAAACGTGTTTGTTTTCCTGGCACTATAGTGCTCCTTTAAGTTCCTCCTATGTCAGAGAATGTCAGACGTAGGAAAAATACATGAGACAAAGTAGTCCCTAATTTGGCTTATGCTTTAAAGAAAACAAGAACGGATCCTGAGAGAGGAAGGGAAAACAATAGGAGAAAGGTCAAGTTCAGCGTGACAGTGGCGCATTAAAGGACCACTATAGTGCCAGGAAAACATACTCGTTTTCCTGGCACTATAGTGCCCTGAGGGTACCCCCACCCTCAGGGGCCCCCTCCCGCCCGGCTCTGGAAGGGGGTAAAAACTTACCTTTTTCAAGAGCTGGGTGGAGAGCTCTCCTCATCCGATCCTCCTTCTCTCCTCCCCGTCGGCAGAATGCGCACACGCGGCAAGAGCTGTGCGCACATTCAGCCGGTCACATAGGAAAGCATTCATAATGCTTTCCTATGGACAGTGGCGTGCTCTCACTGTGAAAATCACAGTGAGAAACACACAAGCGCCTCTAGCGGCTGTCAATGAGACAGCCAATAGAGGAAATAAGGGAAAGGCTTAACCCATTCACAAGCATAGCAGTTTCTCTGAAACTGCTATGTTTATGAAAAAATGGGTTAACCCTAGCTGGACCAGGCACCCAGACCACTTCACTAAGCTGAAGTGGTCTGGGTGCCTAGAGTGGTCCTTTAAGCTTCACACATGGTCAAATCACACCATTAATGCTAATTCAGCCTTGCAGTCTACTCCAAAAGATATGAGTGCAGTCTCACCTCAAGCGCACCGCCCTGGACTTTCTTAATTCCGATCATTTTAAGTTGTAGCAGATCATCCAATAAGGTGACAGCATCAACCACCATTTTGGCAAAGAAGTCTTTCTGCGTTGCAATCAGCTTAGAGCTCAGTGCGGTTGCTGCACACTTTTCTAGGAGAAGCCGCTGCTCTCTAAAGAACACAAAGCAAAAATTACTTTTTTTTTATTACATTGGCATAATCTAGCCTTTTCAGATAGGATATCAATGCATTTCCAGAGCTCTCACAAGAACACTGTAGTCTATGTACATGTAACAATAACTTCAGGAAATATCTGAATACATTTCTGAAAAAGACTAGTTTCTCATTGAAACACTGCACATTCATAGTAATTGGCAGTTAGGTGCTGGGGACAAGTCTCCTATTGTCAATTACCTGCACATTTTAGGTCAGCTGTCAACTTGCACAGAGAGAGACTTAAAGGGACATTGTAGGTACTTCTCCAATTTCATATTAATGAAGTTGTCATTGTGTGCAGTCCCGTCCCCATCACCTACCCACAAAGCCCTCTAGTCAACCAATTAAAAGGCTTAGAAGCATGGCCTCAAGGCACGACTCTAAACCCTCTGGGTACAAGAACTGGAAATCTTATTTCAGGGAATGCTTGTATTCATTTATTAAAGGGCATCAGGACAATCCTCAATTTACGCATTGAAGCACTTAGTGGAAGTGATCTCAGATCACTTCCTCCCAGCACTTGTAAATGTGAATCCCGCAGCAGCTATCGCAGTTCCTGCCCTTGACCTGTACCTGGCCAGCAATGCCCCCACTGGACTCCAGGGAAGCCATCCACATTTCCTCATACAAATAATACGAACAGCTCACACACAAACAAAAACAACACTAACAATCTATCCATGCATGTAAGAAGATGTGTTAAATAAAAAAGTCAGTTATTTATATGTCAGCTTGAATGTGGTTTGAGATTGATGTAGTATGAGCATCAATAACAGCAAAAATGCCCCTGCTATTATTTTCAAAATGCTACACTGACAGATACACAAAGCGGCATTCTGGTAACAATCACAGAGCTTCCCTCTAGGTCTGTCAGTGGGACTTTAAACAGAGCAGCCTAGAAGTACAAATAAGAAATAGTGGCATGCACTAATACATGATGTGACTATACAGGATACTTACTCTTTGTCCTCCTTCTTCACAGTGACAGCAATTTCTTTGATTTTACTAATTGCCTGTATCAAAAAAAACAAAAAACAATCAAAAAAAAACAAAACACCACAACGTGAGGCATGAGTAACAACTGGACCCACTCCCCAAAAGCCTATAAAATATGTTGGAGGGGGAGGGGAAACATAATGTGTCATGGTTGTGTGTGACTGTCACAAGAAAAAAACAAAACAACTCACCAACTGTGTTGCTGTGCGGAAAGCACGGATGATAATCTGAGGATGAAGTCCATCCTCAACATAAGGCTTCACCTGTTTCAAGATCTCAGCTGCCAGTAACGTCACAGAGGTGGTGCCATCTCCTACCTGCAAGGAACAAAACAAATGAAAACAGCCCAACACATAAGGCATAATGAGACAAACACACATTAATAGCACTATTTACCTGTACAACATCAGAAGGAGGAACACAAAATAAATCCCACACACTAAACAGCCCAGTGTCTAGGACATACACAGCAATAAAAATATCTACCTGCCAATATACAGAGTGCCACAACCACCGAAACGCACAAACACAAAGATCCACTGACTTACAAGGACAATCCTACTTTAGCTTATATCAGTAGTTATAGTGATATTAAAGTGATTAGAAGTGGCATGGCGCCTGGAGCTTGTATGTGTAGTTTCACTATGAAACACTACACAAACGTAGTTTAACCCATCTGCTGCTGGAGGAATAATTCCACCTTTGGCAGGGTCACTGGGGCGCCATGAGCCAGCCTGCAACAAGAGTTTTAAGTTGGTTAAATTCAACTGAGAAAACCCTCTCAGCCAAGGAATGGCGATGGCCGCAGCTCGCTGGGAGTGCGTCACTGAACCGCCAGAGAGCATTTGAGCCCAGAAGGAACTAAGGTAAGGAGGCAAACGGTTTCTATAGGGAATTTTGAAATGGCAAGGCACTTGCTGCGCAGTTGCATTAGGTCTCCAATGCTCCTCTATGAGGTGCATTGGATTGGACCATCAACAGAGCGAGCCATGCCTTCTCTGTGGCGTTGGAGAAGTGAAGAGCGCAGAGGAACCCGTGATGTAAGTAAACCTTTAATTAAATTGTTATAACAATACAGCTAACACTATAGTGTTCCTTTAATATATAGGTGCCATTCCCATTAATTTGGTGAAACCGTTTTGGAAGTCTTCAAAAACAAAGGCTTTACTGTGATACCATATCCTTCTTAAACTTCAACCACCCCATTAAAGGGAAAGGACACTTCCACATTATCAAGCATCATTTTGTCAAACCTGGTCAACAATAATAGCCTAAGAGTACTGAGGTTGCGTTAGTACAGGACTCCAAGTCTATTGTTGTGATGGACAAAGCTGCAGCCAAGTGTTTAAGTACACATCCAATAAATCCCTGCTGGGCACTGTGTGATAGGTTATGTTCAGGCAGTACAGATTTGAATTAAAGCCTCTGCATTAGTCAGTTAATGTACCTCTGCATCCTGAGATTTTGCAATGTCCACTAGGGTCTTTCCTGCAGGATGCACCACATCCAGGAGTTTCAATATAGTAGCACCATCATTGGAGATTGTTGCTTTACCTGGAAGAATAAAGGAATAATGTAAGGTACAGCAGCTATGTAAGCAGCTCAAGAAACTAACACACAACATATTCTGACATGTTATTCTTTATAGCATAACTAAAAAGTAAAACAATACACACAATTTTTTTGCAAGAATTTATTCCTTTACACCTTTTGTGGTTAACTGGCAGCAGTCAGGGACATGTCTAGTGCCAAAGGGAACAATGCTTACCTCTGTCATCAACAATGAGTTTATCCATACCCCGAGGACCTAGGGTTGTGCGCACGGCTTCAGCAATCACCTGGCAAGCACTGATGTTACTCAGGAGTTGAGGAACCCCCTGTGAGGTGTCGGTGCCCTCTTTGAGCAGGATAACTGGTGTGGGCTGCAAGACACAAATAGCACCAATAAGCAATACAGAGCCTGCCATTTCTACCTATCAAACATAATCAACATTTTTTACAGTTTGGTTAGTTTGACCTTAAATTTGAAAAATCACTTTGAATTCTCACTTTAGTGAATAACCCTGTAAATTATGCTGGATCTGGTCAATTCCCAGATTAGTGCACAACCTTACACCAGTGTTGTTAACCTTTGCAGCCCTGAGGTGGTTAGGCAACAGCTACGCAATCTCTAAAGGTACTAGTAATTCAGCTTCATAGAGAAATGATGTGCGTCACATTCTCTTTAAAAAAATAATAATAATAAAAAATAAAAAAAAGTACTATAAGCGCCTTATCACATTCTAGCGGTTACAGTGTAAAGAGTTTTGCAAAAAGGATTTCTATGCAATCTGACAAAAACTCTCTCTGCATCTAATCCCCAACCAGGTAGTCGCGGCTCAGGCAATACAGACACTTATGCATTATCGTTCCAAAATTGTCTAATCATGGAGGGAAGCTGGTTAGCCATACACTTGCAGTCAATCATTTCCATCCAATCTTGGAAGGCTAAAGAGTAAATCGTTATGAAATACTCATATTGACGGTGTTGGAATATTACCGAGCGAAAGTAGAGACTGCTATGTCTTTATTTTCCTATGCCTGACAAAGCTTGACACAAGGCTGAGCCTACCGCTGTCAATCGTTGTCATTCCCCCCAGCTAGTGACGACTGTAGAGAAATTAAAGGACCACTATAGTGCCAGGAAAACAAACTCGTGAAAATCACAGTGAGAAGCGCCTCTAGCGGCTGGATTAACCCTAATGTAAACATTCTCTGAAACTGCTATGTTTACAGCAGGCAGGGTTAACCCTAGATGGACCTGGCACAAAGACCACTTCATTAAGCTGAAGTAGTCTGGGTGCCTATAGTGGTCCTTTAAAGGGACACTATAGTCACCAGAACTATAACTCAATGTAGTTGTTCTGGTGAGTATAGTCATTCCCTGCAGACATTTCCATGTAAACACTATATTTTAAACGCAGTGTTTACATTGCCTCTCAGTTCTTTCCGCTTGCCCATTTTCTCTGCTTCCATAACAAGAAATTCAAGAGCTGACCATTCACTTGCTGCCTAATATATCCAACCCCTTGACAGTGACATCGTAAGGATACAATCAATGTTATTCGCTTCCCCTGTCAGTGATTTTATTGTTGTGGTTGATCAGTGCAAAGTGTGATGTAATACACACGTTTACTCTCTGTATTAAGTAGAAAATATTATGCATGAAACATAATGGACAGGTATACTGTCATGCCAAATGAATAGCCCACTCATACAAGTTATGAAGGAACATAGCTCACACACAATAGGATTGCAGGCCTGGCAGAGATAGCAGAGCAGTGGATTTGGTACCCAAAGCAAAGTGCACAGTCTGCCCTACATACAAGTTGATTACCCCTCTGACATGGGGCAGATAGAACAGGGATACAAAATATACGAAGAGTGCAGTCTGCTCTAAAGCGCTGCGGAATTTGTTTGCGCTATATAAATAATATAATTAACCCCCATGACAGCACCTCCTTGGTTTATTATAGGACAGGGATACAAAATATAAAGTGAAGAGTGCACTGACCCCCTCATATGACAGCTCCCTAGGGTTAACATGGACAGGGATACAGTATATAGGGGGTTAACACCAGGCACACGGTACAGAGAGGGTTAACGCCAGGCACACGGTATATTATTAAGTGTTCTTGCATAGCAAGACCACTTAATGTTATCTCACATATATATTTAAGTGTTCTTGCATAGCAAGAACACTTATTGTTATCTCCCATATATATTATTATTCTTATTAAGTGTTCTTGCAAGAACACTTATTGTTATCTCACATATATATTATTATTAAGTGTTCTTGCATAGCAAGACCACTTAATGTTATCTCACATATATATTATTATTATTATTATTATTCTTATTATTATAGCAAAATTTGCCACCCTAACTCCTCCCACAGTTTTTACACTACATAGCCAAAAATTTACCAAAACGTGCAGATTGTTCCCGATCGGATTGCTATTACTTTGTGGAACGTTTCGCCGAATGGTTCACGGAATATCATCGTTCTTGTGGCGAAATTTGTCCCATAGGAATGAATGGCAAAGCTAGAGTGGGAGCTGGCAAAAGCTGAAAAATCAGGACATGATTTCTAAACTGCCACCACTCCCTCATTTTTAGGCCCACCTACACAAATCTTATATCAAAACGTTCAGCTATCCCCGCTGCCACTAAACATGTCAACGGCTAAGCCGTAGTCCTGATAGTTTTCACAATATGACCATTTGTTTGCAACCAACGCCGTCCATTGACATTCATTGAAACTTCACTCTGCAAAGCTCAAATTTGAAGTGCAATTTCTAAACTGCGACTGTGCCTACAATTTTAATACTTCAGAGACATACTATGCATCAAAATGTAGGTCTGGGTCTTGTGATTCTCACAATATAAAGCTCTTCACTGTAGGAGTTATAGTTTTTAAGATACGACCGTTTGAAGATGGCAACCACCAAAATACTCTGACCTGTCAAGGCTGCAGCAGCAAGTGATATCATAGACAGGGCCTTTTGAACACCTGCTAATGTTTTTATAAATGTAGGGTTTAAAGGACCACTCTAGGCACCCAGACCACTTCAGCTTAATGAAGTGGTCTGGGTGCCTGGTCCTTCTAGGGTTAACCCATTTTTTCATAAACATAGCCGTTTCAGAGAAACTGCTATGTTTATGAATGGGTTAAGCCTTCCCCCTAATCCTCTAGTGGCTGTCTCATTGACAGCCACTAGAGGCGCTTGCGTGCTTATCACTATGATTTTCACAGTGACAGCACGCCAGCGTCCATAGGAAACCATTGAGAATGCTTTCCTATGTGACCGGCTGAATGCGCGCGCAGCTCTTGCCGCGCGTGCGCATTAAGACGACGGGGAGGAGAAGAGGAGGCAGAGAGCTCCCCGCCCAGCGCTGGAAAAAGGTAAGTTTAACCCCTTTTCCCCTTTCCAGAGCCCGGCGGGAGGGGGACAGTGAGGGTGGGGGCACCCTCAGGGCACTATAGTGGTCCTTTAATGTAACTGTGCAACAACGTTGCAATTAAATGTGCTATATAAATGATAACAGTTACTCCGCCCACTCCAGTTGTAGACTACAGGTGGAGGCAAGAACACTTCACACAATTTCCCCAGAAATTGTAGCTTTTCTAGTTATATTTATTATTATTATTCTTATTATGATATTTATAGATGGCACAGTAAGGTACCGGGGTATAGCGGAGCTGCAAGGCCGGGCAGGGTGTCTGGGACTCGGATAGGGGATCCAGGACAGACCGAGGCTTTGTGAGGCCCACGTGACTCAGTCCCCGCCCGGCTCCCTGCCGCCCCGGGCCTCACACAGCGGCCAGGAGAGGGAGTGCGGCCCGGGGGAGCCGGCGGTGAGGGTCCCGGGGGGCTGCGGGCTGGGAGCGGGGAGGATGGCGGCGGATTGCTCACTCACCATCATCGTGCTGACCGTCAGGCAGATCCTTCACACAGCCGGCTGCTCCCACAATGCACCGCGAACAACCTTCCGGAACTTTCCGCAACAACCGTTAACTGTCACTGGGAGGAGCTCCGAGGGCGGGGCCAAGCTGGCGTTACCAGGGAGACCAACACGCTCATCCACGCCTCGTTTCCATATCCGGAAGACACTGATTGGCCATTGGTCCCCCCTTCACATATCCTATTGGTCAGCCTTGTGAAGCATCCAGCGCCATCTTGGTGTGTCCGAGTGACAGCTGCTATATCACACACGGGCTATCGGGTTAGTCCTACATTAATATAACTCCTGTACGTGGTGATCGCCTCGCAGCATGCTGGGATTTGTAGTTCAGAGCAGCCGTATAACCCGGTGTATGAGGAGATTAGCGGGTGATTGGGATACTCGGTCAGTGTGCGCTGATATTACATGCAGTTCGGTATGTGGGAGTGATTGACAGCTCTCTCCTCCAATCCCATGCTCGCACAGCAGCCGCTACAGCAGGGGGCCTTTCCGGGGCGGGGCTTCGTGCTGGGCCTCATTGAGCAGCTGGTGGTCCTGATGTTGGCAGAGCTCAGGGAGCCATGGTTGGCAGTGTGAGGAGGGGCTGCCTGCTGACCGTGCTGCTCCTGCTCCCTCTGCTGGTCAGGGGTAGGTATGAACCCCTCCCCCTTCTCCCCCCCCCATGCTGGTCAGGGGTAGGTATGAGCCCCCCCTCCATGCTGGTCAGGGGTAGGTATGAGCCCCC